ACGAGGAGTCGGCTTCAGGTCTTGGAGGTGGTCTGCTGCCCTTGCCCGGTTGTGGACCAGGAGGGTCTCTAGGAGGGCCTTCTGGCTGGCCATGATCATGGATGACCTGCCTCATCTGGTCGATGTCGGCAGTACCTTTTATGGCCAGCTTGTACTTGCCATTCTCATGGCGGTAGATTACCCTCGTGCAAAACCACTTCTGCGCCGAAGAGCTGTAGTACCAGCAGGCGCTTCCATCAGGGAATGGATTCTCTGAGCCGTCTTCCGCCGCCCATTCTTCATTCAGTTCGGTGTGGTCTGTGCCGGCGGCGGACCCGGCAGCAGATGCAACAGCTATCCACTCGTCGTCCGCGGACCCAGCGGCTGGCGCCGCGTCTGCGGGTGACCCCGCTTCTTTGCTGGATTCTGCGGGTGACCCCGCCTCTTTAATGGATCCAGCGGGTGACCCCGCCTCTTTATGGAATCGGCGGTTCCATTCCTTGAGGCGATGGTCATTGGGAAGCTGTACCCAATTTTCCCTGACGATGTTGGCCACCTCTTCGGTCATAGGGACACGATCGGCTTCGGTGATGCGCTTTCCTCCTCCAGGGACCTCCTTATTAGGATCATGGACGTTGCCAGCGTCATCTCCATGAGACCAATTCCACGGGGTCTCACCGTGATGAGGGCTCCTGGAGGGGCGGTCCATCGGACACCTGCGCATGTGACCTTTGAAGGGCTCGCACTGACATACTTGTTTCCTGTATGTCTTGCGATCGTTGATGATCTCCTGTTTCTTAGCCCTTTTGTCCCAAGCCTCTGGCGTCTTGGTCTTGCCACCCTTGGTACGTATTATCGCGCCAGTTTCGTCCCTTTTAGTGCAGTACTCCTTAGAATACCAGTGGCGAAGCGTGTCCATCGAGTAGCCGGGGTACCATTTGATGTACCAATCCGGCACATGCTGAGCGGATACTCCGACGGAGTGCTCAGTACTGTATGGATAGCCCGATTCATCATGTGTGGGGCGTCTGGGAGCTGAACGGCTCCTTCTGCGGGCTGGCCCCGCTGACGCACTACCACGTGCCATTGGCCTTTGATCGTCATGCTCTGAGTCTCGGGGAGGCGACGGTCGTCTGTCCCTCTTGGCGTAGCGCATGTCCTCCGAGTCCTCTGAGCTGTCCTGGACCATGAACACGTTTTGATACGGGCTTCGGAAGTACCCGATGTCGTTTAACTGCTCCATCGTGAGGTCGTTAATGTCCATTTGATCACAACCTTGCATGAATACATCCATAGACCAAGCGGGTGGCCCCGCTGTTGCGTCTGGCGTCTCTTCGGCGGGTGACCCCGCTAGAGCTTGGAGTGCTGTCAGCATCTGAGATGCTGACATGTCCGAATCCAAGTATGGACGTAGACGTGCAGCTCCTGGGTGTGACAGCAGTTCGTTCATAGTTATCTGCTGCTGTGCTGGCGCACTCAGGAGTCGGATTGCTTCTGAAACCTGCTCTTGGAGCATGTCCTTATAATCTTCTTCGGCTTCTTCGGAGTCGGAATACGCGGGATGGCCCCGCATTTCGTCATCGGCGTCTCCCGCCTCCGAACCAGCCCACGAAGGATTTGGCAGCAACGGCATGCCAATCACTTGCGGGGCCAGCACGGCGGTGAGTTCTTCCTCTGTTGCCGGGACGGTCTCGGCTTCGGAGACCTCGTCGCCGGCGGGTGGCCCCGCTGGAAGACCGAACCAAGCATTGTACGCGACCTCGTCGACCTCGTCCCAGCCGTGGAACTCGTCGAAGAGGGTCACTGCGTAGTCTTCCAGGGCTACAGTTGCTTCAGCGTAGCGGGCCATCACGTAATACGTGGAGGAGCCCGCGGCGGGAGCCGCTTCTGGATTGACGTAAAACTCGTAGTCAATGTAATCTATGTCATCCATAAAAGAATTTTGAGCCAAATGTACGGATCCCTTTCCTTTCCCCTTCGGGCATTGATCGCGCAAATGCTCTGTGCTACCGCATGTATGACACTTCATAGTATTACCAGAAGCGTCCCTAGGGTTGCCCCTCCGCCCCTTTCCCTTACCGGAGGTCCGCCTGTGACCCCGACCTTTGCCTCCGATAAGAACTTCTTCAAAAGCCATATCAGTTAAGGACGTGAGGAAAGCAGTAATACCCCTACCATGCATACGGCGTCTGCGACCCCCTTTGCCACGACCCTTTCCAAATCGTTTGAAATGTCGGCGTACTGCACGTCTCACCTTTCTGACTGGTTTCTTCATAAAGCGCCTCCAACGGCGTTTTGATTTGCGATAAGCCATAAAAGCGGCTTCCGCTCTTTGTTGTTCAGAGAGGTGAGTGTCATCCGCTGGGTAGTCATTACCAGCAGAGACTATGCCATTGTGCTCATCGTCAGATGAGGTATCTGTGTCAGTGCCAGATTCAAACGGTGAGGGTGGCTGAGACCATTGAGCGGATGACTCCGCTTGGCCCCAGAGGGTTGTGCCCGAGGGCGGGCTTGCAGTGTAGGCGGCGCCTGGCGAGTAGTTCGACCAGGCGTTCGCCTCAGCTGCCTCTGCCGATGCCTGGCCGGTCTGCCCTAAAGGGCAGTGGCCTCGTTGGGCATATCGGCTGGGTCAGCCCAGGGATTTGGCTCGCCAGGACCAGCGGGTGACCCCGCAGTCGTGGCGTAGACACCTGCATGTGAGTGGTGCCCTGTGAAGATACCCGCTATGTTGCCAGGAGAGCGCTCGGCAACATGTCCGTAGTTCCTCATCCTGGTCAGCAGCCTGTCATAGTCTGCTTGTGTTCGGGGCATCTGATGATTGAAGGGCTCAAGCAGGTGTTGGGCTCGTGACGCGCCAACGCCTAACGCTCTGAAGAGAATCAGCGTTAGGATCTGAAAGTTGGGGATGACAGAGCCAACGGAGTTAGCCTCGTCACGGGCCATCTCGAACCGAGCTAACACTGAGTCGATTCGCTCGCCCCTTTCGACGCGGAAGTCGATAAGGGCAGTGCCAGAGTTGAGCTGGCGCTCATCTTCCAGATTTTCAAATTTGGTGCTCAGTAAGTACAGTATATATGTTACTGCATCCGTTGGCTGTCCATTGACAGTTACACCATAATTGATGATCTGGGAGGGGACCTGCATGGCGATACGACGAGCCAGACCTTGAAGGCCTCGTTGTAGTGCTGCAGCTTGTTGTGGTGGTGTCATATTGCCACTCGTTACGTTTAACCATGCATGTACTTCGCGAACGTATTCGCGAAAAGGCGTAGTACCGGCAGGGTCCCATGAAGGGCCAGTAGTACGCGTGTCGTCCATCCCCTGCCGCATGTATCCCACAGCACATCCCATTATACCCACAGAATGCCGAATATAGTTATCTTGATCCAATGCATGTGCATTTCGGCTTCGGTGATTGGTTTAGGCTGTGGTTTGTCAGGCTCTGGCGTAGTAGCCGTGAGGCGCCTGACTGGCACGGGATGCAGGTGGCCCCGCTGCGGGTAGCCCCGCAGGGTGACCACGTTCTCGATCGAGTTGCCGATTGGCATCTGGTGGAAGTCGGGAGTGAAGTAGCGCAGTGAAGTAGGAGAGAGCGTCTCGAGTTCGCGGGTTGCCCCGCTAGCTCGATCGCGGACTGGCTCCGCTCCTCGCAGAGCCGGCGCAACATGGTATTCCACCGTAGTAGTAGTCCACCAAGTTGTGCCGTGGATTACAGGAATCAGAGCGAGAGCCAGCCACACGAGAGTGTAGCCAGCTCCGCTACCAAGTCGAAAACAAGCTGGTAAGCTTAGGTATGTGTTACGCTTTAAGCGTTGCCATATCCCAGGCTTTGGCTCATATCGCATGAGCAAGAGTGCAAGACGAAGCATGGGATCTGGAGTAAAGGATAGGATGGGCATCGTCAATGGAAAAGGTATTTTCCGATCTCTGATGCAAGTCGTGCGCCTCAGTGAGGCACAGTCATATATTTGGCCGGGCCCGGCTTGAGCCAGGCACGGCAGCGGTACATGCTCGATTTATACCTCGCCTTTAACCTTCTCCGTTTAAAGTCACGCACACGCACACGCACACGCACACGCACACGCACACGCACGCACGCACACACGCGCACACGCACACACGCACACACGCACACGCACACGCACACGCACGCACGCACGCACACACGCACGCACGCACGCACGCACGCTCGCACGCACGCACGCACGCACACACACACACACCACACGCACGCACATCACACACACACACACATCACACACACACATCACACACACACACACACACGCTAGCGAACGACCGCCCGTCGTGATTATTGTCACGACGCGAACGGACCTAGGAGAGGCGTTCCGGGAATGCACCCCAAGAGCGCCGCCGGGAGCACGCCGTCAGTGACGCACCGCCAGCGCCGCCCCCCCAGGAGCGCCCCGATCCCCACCCTCGGGAGCGCCGCAGGAGCGCCGCGGGAGCGCCCCCGGGAGCTACCGGCCTGGGGGGAAAGCCTCGCTTGGCTCGCCACTATCACTACAGTCGGGGCGTTGAACTAAGGAACCCTAAATAAGGAAGGAGGCCCCTTTTTTCCATATGTAAGTTAACCTTCGATGTCCTGTCGAAAACATAAGGAAAGCCTGAGGCAAGCTGCCAAACACTTAAGGAACGCGGAGCCCCTCCCCAATGAAAAGGGTTCCTTCTTCAGGGGCCCGACTGTATGACGAGTCCCATCGTAGCTGTGTAAACCTGCTTCGGGCATTCTGCCGGAAGGGCGGCGTTTTTGCACAGCGAAGGCCTGCGATTTCACAGGGGTCGAGCGGAAGATGACGGGCACGTTGGCGCAGCGCCAAATTGGACAGCCGCACGCACTGCTCCGTCTGCACCGCAGCGCTGCGCAGGGCGGTGCCATTGGGAGCCGCGATGAGCAGGAAGGAGGACGACGGGGAGGAGGAGAAGAGCAGAGCAGAACCTCATGGAGTCCCTGTCGGGCTGCACTCTGAGAAGATGCCTTCGAGACCGCTCAACTCACGATGCAGGCCGTCCTCAGGCTCACAGCACAAGCTGCACTGGCCGCCAGGCGTCCCTCTGGGCACGCAGCCTCAAATTCGAAGCCGCGTGGACTATGGAAATCCGTGGTGCTGCACCGAAGGCCTGCGCAAAAAGCACATGAGAACACTGGAAAAAACCCGCTGGGCCCAAGGCTGGGCGGCAGGCGCGCGGCCAGCGCCCTGCAGGCGGGCCGCTGGACGCAGACCCCGCCCCCGCCTGCCCAAAGCCAGGGCCCCGCCCCCCTGATGCAGCCCGCGCCCATCAGCGTTCCCAGACCTCCGACGAACTGATTTCTTCAATCCTGGCGGACTCTTCTCGATCTCGGCTTTTCTTTCGGGGCCGTTTTCGGGCCCTTGGGCCATCAGAAACGGATCCGGACGAGAAACTACCCCAGGCCCTCTGGGGCCGCGCATTGAAAAATTACATCGTCGGAGGTCTGGGGAAGGCTCTGATTTCGTTCGGGCTGCCTGCCACAACCTCACGGTGGGTTCGCGTTGTTACGACTGGGACGTTGATTTCTCAAACAACGTAGATGAGGCTCCGTAGAGATTATCAAGTTTGATGTCTCACCAGGTTTACTTTTGTAGGTCCTTGGCCCGACACGCTGTCGGGGCACATTCCAGATTGAACGTCCGCGCACACGTTACCGCCGCGTCGACTCGGCGCGAACTTACACTGAGCCTTCGTCTGGCCCCGCTGTAAACATGATCGGCCCACGACCCCGGAAAGGAATATAGAAATGTATACGCTTCAAAAACACCTGATTGGGCGACGGACAAATGCAATACTGAATTATCGATCTTGATATACCGTGCCGAGGGCTGTGCTGTGCTGCGCCGTGCTGGATTGCGATGTGCCATGAAGAGATTGTGCCCTATGCCCTATAGCGTTGTGGATCGAGTCCTCCTTTGCATCGAGTCCTGACCGAACTGATCTGGATCTTAAGCTCGAAGCCCAGCAGGCCGACATGTCCTTCTTCCTTAGATTTATAAATTTCGTTGCCCAGAATATGCCCACATGGCCGTCTATAGCCCTCGAGCCTGGAGGCAAAACGTGTGGTAAGCCAGTCTTTAAGCCCCAGGATTTGCCCCCGGTGGGTGCTGTCCTACTGTAATCGCCTCTTCCTCGCCCGCGCCTCCTCCTCCCCCATGTGGGTCCAGTTGCCGAGGCTGGTGCTCCTCCTCAAGGCGACCAACAGACAGGTCTGCATCACAGTAGGTCTGGTCCCAGGGAAGGTGGATGTTCGATCTGTGGCGCACCAGAGTCATCACTGGGGGAACCAGAGTCAGAAGAGATGCCGAAAGCTGCCCAGGGTACAGCCTGGCCCTGCCACGTGCACCAGAGAATCGAAACGTCCATGACATGTACGTTTTGAATAGGCTCGGTACAGAGAGCTGCGTCACGGCTTGTTGGCAGTGCGGGGTGTACTCCGGATGCGTGACACGGGGCTCCAGGACGCCTTGTGGGAATCGCCCCGCCAGCGGCAACAAAGTCGCCGCTTGAAACTGCTGGACATCCTGCCGCCGCCGCAAACACGGAATGCGTTTCCCCGTGGTCTTCGCTGCGCCCATCACTCTTGCTTTGCTGATTCAGGGGACGCAAGCTTCGCATGGGGTTTCGAGCAGCAGCATCCGCAGCCAATAGCTGGCCAAAAACAAACAATCACAGTCACATCCCCTGGTCCTCCCCTTGCCGCCACGCGGGCCCCAGGGATGGCCCGAAGAGGAACGCCAAAGCCACCCCATTGGTCCCAGAGATTTCTCTGTTCATCCTGGTTGCCCGTCTTGTTTCACTATATGTGTCCCTTCGTCCCTTTTCCCGTCAGCTCTCATGGGCAGGGCTTCTGAACGGGCAGGTGGGGGTACTTTTTTGGTCGGCGGCCGCGCGAAAACGGTCTGGCGGCGAGAGGCAAAGTCCGGGGCGTGCGGCACGATGCGAATTAGCGAACACCGCCGCCACGTTGGCAAGCCGGTTCGCACCTGCACAACAAGAGCGCAGTTGCACATGCACATAACAAAATGAACTAAATTCACAAGCGAACGCACATAGGCGCCGCAGTGTGAACCGAGGTGGACAAGCGGCAGAGTGTGCGAATCAGAAGGAAAACCGAGGGCTGTACAGGCGTAACAGGCTGAACCACACGGCGCCCAGACGTCAGTAATCCGCCTCCCAGTGCCAGGTGGAGCCATGCGGCTGTGCCCAAAGCGCAACTGCGATGCCGATCCCTGAAGCGAAGAGATCCGCAGGCGTGGGGGGGCACCGCCGTCTAGTGGTGAAGCGCCTGCGCAACCTGCCAGGGAGGGTCCTGCTGCAGTGGAGGCAAGTGGGAGGCCGGTGGAGCGAGTCGCCTGTGGGGCGCCAGACTTCGAACGCCCGCGACGACGTCTGCAAGCCAAGCACCTGTCGCGGAACTGGTGCGGCGCCCTGGCTGGCAGCTGGTGGGGGCCTGGGTGCTGTCTTGCTGCGGAAGGCTGAGCCACTCCGTGGCGACCCAACACCCGTGTGACCACTCCACAGAGCAAGGGGGGAACAAGCGACTGTGGGCCACGCAGCGCGCGCCGGCACGGCGCCAGGCCTCAGAGAGGGGGGGGAGGGCCCGCAGGCGGGGGCGCACCGCCAGCGGAGGAGTGAGGGGGAGGGCGGCACTGGTGGTAGTGCTGCCTGCTGCGGTGTCAAAGGGCGAGGCGCCTGGGGGAGCTGCACTGTGGAGGACGCGTGGGCCAGGAGGCAAGCCGGGCCCAGTCCGCCGATAGGCGCTGTCCCCCAGACCCGAGACCCAGCACGCACCACGAGGTCCTCCAGGGCCGAAGCACACTCCGCAGAGAGTGGGAGCCAGACCACGAAGCGCAGAACACGGGCGGCCCCGGGAGGGGGGGCGGACGCCCCGACGTCGGATACCACGTTAGGCAGGCCCCGAGGCCGAGGGCGGGGGGCACCCGCCAGGCCCGAGAGGGGAGAGGCGAGGAGAAGCACCGCCACACCCCTCGGCCAGGCCCCGAATCCGAGGGCTAAGGGCCATGGTCATCTCCTGGGTTCCCCTAAGCTGATGCGGCCCTGATCCAATGTGTTCCTGAGGTAGGCGCTCTCGTAGGCCTCGAGGCCCCTCGGAGTGTCCACCCTAGGTGTTCGCACACACTGATCCTGAGTTGCGCTGCTGAGAAGGGGGGTGCAGCTAACCGCCGCAGAATACCCTCTCTCCTGGTCATGGGGGGTGCAGCTAACCGCCGCTGAGTTCACTCTTCCATTCATATTGGGGGCACAGCTAACCGCCGCTAGAGTCACTATTTGTTGGTGGTTGCCTCCATCTCCGTCGCCAGATTGCACCTCGGGGGCGTGGCTCGCCACTGTCTGAGGAGATGCAGGCGCGTGCTCTCTGGGGGGGCGGGCAGCGTCCTCCGCAGCTGCGAGCTGTTGCGCCTCCTCCTGGCACTCCCTGGGGCCCGCCTCATCTGATGCCTCTCGGTGCCCCCCCTGGGCCGCCATTGTCAGCCTCAGGGAGTTGGATGGCCCTTGCTGCTGGAGGCGAGGAGTCCTGAGCGGCCCCGAGGCGGGGGGAGGGGGGAGGCGAGGACGGGATAGGGAACGAGACGGGGCCGGGAGCGTGGATGGGGGGAGTCGAGACAGGACACTCCCGAACCTGGACATCCGTCTCCATGCCCCTTCCGTTCCCATCTGGTCCGCCGCAAGTGTGTCTGCGAGATCCCCGTCTATGATGCATCGGCCTTTCGTTGACACGGGGGGTGCAGCTAACCGCCGCAGAACACGATTTGTTTGAAAGTGTGTCTGCGAGAGCCCCGTCTATGATTGGGAAGTGCCTCCGCCTCTGCTCTCAGCGCTGCAATCGATGACAGCGAGCGCGCTTGCCGCTGAGAGTGGTGGGGGAGCTGATCGACGGTATGACGGGGGGGTGCAGCTAACCGCGGCGTAACACGATTTGATGGAAAGTGTGTATGCGAGAGCCCCATCTATGATACATCGACCTTTCGTTGACACGGGGGGTGCAGCTAACCGCCGCAGAACACGATTTGTTTGAAAGTGTGTCTGCGAGAGCCCCATCTGTGATTGGATAGTGCCTCCGCCTCTGCTCTCAGCGCTGCAGTTGATGACGGTGGGCGCGCTTGCCGCTGAGAGTGGTGGGGGGGCTGATCGCCGCTATGATGTCCCTTTTATCTCCTCGGGGGTCGCAGCTACTCGCCGCTGAGGCCCTTGGGGGCGCAGCTACTCGCCGCGAGCACCAGCGTGGAAGGACGGGGGGGGCAGCTGCCCGCCGCTAGGAAACATTTTGCAACCCAGCGCTGCCACAGACGACGTGGGCACAAACTTCGCACCCCACATCCCGGCAATGCGCCGGAGCCTGTGGACCGCGATTGCACGGATGGTGCCTCCGCCACCGCTGAACCGACAGCACAAGGATGCAAGAGCACCTGAGCCCCAGAGCGGACCCGAGCCCAGCAGCAGACACCCCAGGGAGGACAGCGCCAGGATACGAGAGCCCCGGGGAGAGCCCGCGGGGCGCGGGGCACGCGCCCAGACCCCACTGCAGACGCAGAACACGTTGGCCACCTGCCGCCATGCTGGGCGGGGATGAGCTGCAGCCGGTGCACGCCCCTCACGCCCTGTTCTCCGCGCAGCAACTGGTGACAGTGGGCGCTGCGAAAAGTGTGTCTGCGAGAGCCCCATCTATGATGCATCGACCTTTCGTTGACACGGGGGGTGCAGCTAACCGCCGCAGAACACGATTTGTTTGAAAGTGTGTCTGCGAGAGCCCCATCTGTGATTGGATAGCGCCTCCGCCTCTGCTCTCAGCGCTGCAATTGATGACTGAGAGCGCCGTGAAAACGAAGCGTGCACGAGGGGGGGGCGAAGGGTGGCCCTTGGCTGCCAGAGCTGGGATGCGAGAGTGCCTTGAGCCCCGGTGGGAGGCCCCGGCCCGCGGTGCAGGCAGGCCCCCGCGTGCGCCCAGGGCCGCTGTGTCCGGTTGTGGCCAAGACGAGCGTGCACGGGGGGGGGGCGAAGAAAGGCCCCTGGCAGCCAGAACGGGGATGCGAGGGCGCCTTGACCCCCCGAGGGAGGCCCAGGGCCCGAGGTACAGCAGCCCCCGCGTCGCCCAGGGCCGCTGGGTCCGGATGCATCCCTTTCGCAGGCCGCGTTTTGCTGGGCAGCAACTGGCCTGCTGCCAGTGACCATCCTCCGCGCGCCTGATCCCTGCGCGCGCGGTACCACGAGGCGGGGCAGCAGCGGCTACTGTGGGGAGACGGCCCGCCACTGTTTTTTGCCCTTCCTGGGTGCCTGGGTGTCCGGGTGGCCCTTCGCCGCGTGGTGATCCATGCTCGCTCCGCCGCTTCGACCCGGGTGCAGATGCCGCGGCCGAGCCCAGTCGACGTCGAGGCCCAGCGCGTCGCCGACGACCCGTACGTCGCACTTGTGGCTGCGGAAGGATTCCAGGAAGAGGTGGCAGGTTTGCGGGTCGCGCCGAAGCGGGTCGAGCGCGCCTTTGCTGCCAGGCACGGGCTGCCGCTTGGCGAAAGCGTGCCAGGTGCCCGTGAGCATCGTTCCCAGTGTGACTTGGAGCCGCCTTATCGCCTCGCCGGGTGTCTCCCTATAGGTCCCACTGGATGTTGTTGATTTCTGTCTTGTACAGCTGCTGTCCCGTGTCGGGGTCCGTGGGCTCTGGCCGTTGGCGCGGGTCAGGCCGTTGGTGCTGCCGTGTATCCTGGCCGCAAGTCTCCAGCGTACCGGCCTCGCTGTCCTGGCCGGAGGGCTCGCGATCTGCCCGCGACAGATCCGGCTGCACGCCTGGCGGGGTTCTGCGGGGAGAGGCGGGCCGCATGGTTGGCCGCCGGGCGGGGGTCGGATCGTCTCCGGCAGCCAGGGCGGACGCTGCCCTGTGGTGCGTGGGGAGAGGCCCCTTTCGCTGGCGCTCGCCTTCGGGCCTGCGCCCGCCGTCGCTCCCGGGCGCGCCCCCTTCGGTCAACGCAAGACTCTCGCCGGTTTCGGAGGCGCCGCTGGTTGTGCCGGGCGCGCGCACGTACGGCGACGCACTTTCCGTTGCCAGAGCACAGGATTCCTTGTCAGTCGTGTCCTGGACGTCAGGAGAGAGCGTCTGGGGTTCGCCGCCCATCAGAGTGAGTTCGCTGGCAGGGGAAAGGGGGCGAATAGGCGCGAAGGGGTTTCTCCCGACGTGCCAGTGGATGGTTTCGCTGTCCTGCGTCTGGACGGTTGGTCCGTGGCCCCCCTGCTGGGTCTGTGGCGCCCCCGGAGGACTGCTGGCGGTCTGATTGTTTTGAAGGGGGGGCGGGGGGGGCACGGTGTGGCAGGCGAGCCCCTGCCGTTCCGGGATCTCGCTTAGCTGACTGTTGCGGCTGCCGTCAGCACTTTCGGGGGCCACCCCCTGCCCGCCCGGTTCTAATCCAGAGACACGGATGAAGACTTGTGCCACTTCCGCACCTTCGGAGGCTTCCGCCGCTTCGGGCACCCGATACTCCGCGGCCTTCGCAGCCTCCGCCGACTCCGCCGCGGCCTCCCTCTCCTTTTCTCTGCCCTGCTGCTGCTGCTGTTGCTGCTGCTGAGGGAGCAAGGGTACCTCTGAGTCGTCTGGTGGGTTCAGCTGCTGCTGTGGCAATGGTTGGGGGTGCTGCCGCCGTTGCTGCCGCTCCTGCGGCTGCTGCTGCTGCTGCTGCAGCTGCTGGGTTATGTTGCTGCTGCTGCTGCTGCTGCTACGGCTGTTGCTGCTGCTCTTGCCCTTCTGCTGCGGCTGCTGCTGTTGCTGCTGTTGCGGCTGCAGTTGCAGCAGCTGCGGCTGCTGCTGCAGGCACTGCTGCTGCGGCTGCTGCTGCCGCCGCTGCTGCTGCGGCTGTTGTTGTTGCTGCTGTCGCTGCTGCCGCTGCTGCTGCTCCGACAGGTGCAGCGGCTGCTGCTGCTGCTGCTGCTGCTGCTGCTGCTGCTGCTGCTGCTGCTGCTGCTGCGCGGCCGCCGCGGCGGCCGCGGCGGCGCCCGCGGCGGCGGGCCCAAGGGCGGCCGCGCGGGCGGCGCGGCGCCGGGCTGCGCGGCCCCGGCCTCCGCCACGGCACGGCGGCGGCGGCGGCGGCGCGCGGCGCGGCGGGCGCAAGGGCGCGGCGGCGGCGCCGGCCGCCGAGCCCGCGGCGCCGGCCCCAGCGTGGGCAGCCGTTGCACGCTGACGCCGACGCCGTGCCGAGATGGTCTCGTGAGGCGGCGTCTGCGAAGCATCTGGCCGGCGGCCTGCCCGCGGCGGCGGCCGGCCGGCGGCCTCATCAGGCAGGCGGCCAGCCGGCGGTGGCCTCCGCCCAAGGGTCGAAGGCTTGCCCTCGGCCCCTCGGGTCTCGCCGGCCGGCCTGCCAGCGTGCGGCAGAGGCGGGCGCCCCTCGCGCCTGCCATCCGCCTGCGGCCATGGGTTGGAATCAGGATGAAGAAAAATGAGAAAAGGAAAAACGGGGCAGTGGGGCCTACTGGCGGCCGGCGGCTTGACCCAGAGCGGCTTGAGCCAGGGGGGCTACGGAAGCTGGTGGGGATAAGCGAAGCGTGAAAAATTATTGTTGACCCCTCCCCCATTGCCCATAATGATTTCAATTCAAGTGCCCCTTCCAGGGCTCGCACCCTGCTTTTTTACAAGGGACAATCTCGAGCCTCAGACTGGCACCCTGGCCCCCGAACTACAACAGCAACGGCTCCCGCCGACTGCGGTTGTGGTTAAGGTTGGTGTGTGTGTGTGTATGTGTGTGTGTGTGTGTGTGTGTGTGTGTGTGTGTGTGTTTGTGTTCCGCTTGCTTTCCTGCTCCTAGTCCCATCGAGACTGAGGCTGGGCGCGCCTTTACTTCACACGGGATCGGAACTACCTGAGACCCACATGGTTTGAAATGCTGGCTGCAAACTGTCCCAAGTAAGAAGAACAACGTCGTGTATTGTGTGTGTGTGTTGCTGGCCAAGCTGATGCTCCGGCCTTGTGCCGCTGCCAGGGCTGACACGACGGAAAATGGAACACCTGGAGACCCAGTAGAAAAGGACGATGGAACAGAAGGACAAGCAGCACACGTGACAGAGAAATAAAACAAGTAGGAGGGAGGGGTGGACGAACAGGACGACGAGGAGCTGGAAAATGATGAGGAGCAGGAGCCGGAGCAGCCGGCGGCCGCCCACGCCACGGAGGCCTCCTAGATCGCCTCGGGGCGCTCGGAGCTCGACGGCCTGCTGCGCAGGCTCCTGCTGCTGGGGCCCCGGGAGACCGCGTCCATCCGCGCACTGCCGACACTCCCGACCAGCTGGCCCCACTGGTGGCTGGCCACGAGGCTGGACACGTTCCTGAACTCGGTGGCGGCCCTGGGCCCGGCGCTGGCCCCCGCCGCCTGCTCGTGCTCCGCCTCCGGGCCGGGCGCAGGCCGCGCGCCCCGCGGGTGCCTCGCGTCCGGCGGGTCGGGCGTGTCCGCGGGCGCCCGCCCCGCCTGTGCCCCGTGCAGCGTGTCCAGTATCGTCAGCATGTTGTGCATCAGCCACTCGCTCTGGTACTGCAACTTCAGCATGTCCATGGTCGTGGCCTCGCCCGTGAGCCGGAAGCAGCCGAGCAGGAACTCGTTCAGGTTGATGTGCCCCTTGCGTTCGCGGTCCAGCAGCAGGAAGAGCGTTCGCACGTCTGTGACATTCAGCTGCAGCGCGTGGAAGCTGTCAACCAAGCCCCTGCTCGCATCTGACATGGCATCCCTCATGCCCGCAAGGGTCAATCTGCCGTCGCCTTCCGTGTCCAAATCCTGGAAGAGGTAACTCAACCTCTTTATGACCTCAATCCTCTTCTCCGCAGCCATCTGCTCTATCGCGGTGCTGTCGTTGCGCGCCCAATGGCTGGCTACCTCCACAAAAATCCCAGTAACGACATTTGCAGTTCCAAAGCCGCCACCATGCCTGCACGAAATGGGCGTGTAAGAATGCTGTGAAATGCATCGTAACTCTTCTATGGCACCCCCCGCCTACTCACGCCCTGTCGCGTGCACCCCCCTTCCGTCCCGAAGAATCCTGCGATGCCTGGCGCGCCCCCGGGCCTCTCCGAGGCTATGGTTGGTTTCGACGACGAGCCAAGAAAACCAGTAAGGCCGCGAAATGGGCCCAACTCTGTCCCAAGAAGCACCCAACAGCCCCTCAGGCCCAAGAGGTTTCCGAGACCCTCCAGAGGCCCAAACCACACAACAATATACAAACCTTACGCTGTGTTTTGCGCATTTTCATTCCCCTAGCCTCTCGGGCAAAAATGGTCCCAGAAATGCCTGTGAAGGGGGTTCGGGGCCACAGCGGGGGGCCCTCGTTTGCGCGTTTACTACTGTGCCGTGATGAAAGATTACCCTATTTTGACGGGTCGGAAGAAGTTCATCCTTCGTCCGCAATTCGAGCACACGTCTGTGCCGTGATGACAGATTGCCCCACTTTGACGGGTCGGCAGAAGTGCATCCTGCGTCCGCAATGCGAGCACACGTCTGTGCCGCGATGACAGGTTGCCCCATTTGGACGGGTCGGCAAAAGTGCATCCTGCGTCCGCAATGCGAACGAACGTCGCTAGTCGCCCCGCTAGGGACGTGGAGCCTGGTACAATGTTACGGGGAGGTGCCTCGCTTTCGGGGCGGAGTTCGAACCTGGGCTGTCGGGGCGGGGTTCGAACCTGGATCTGGTTCCTTAAATTAAAATTTTATAAGCCAAACGGGATGGCGGTTCGAAAACGGCAAACCGCGTGGGACATCCTCACAAAATTGGCTCTCAAGACGGTTCGAACTCGGTTCGAAACAATAGAATGCGGTTCGAAACAAAAGCAGAATGAGCGTTTCGCGTGGGGCTTCCCTCAAAATACGGCGTCGGACCCAGTTCGAAACAAAAGGATGGCGGTTCGAAAACGGCAAACCGCGTGGGACATCCTCACAAAATCTGCTGTCCTGATGGTTCGAACTCGGTTCGAAAGAAGGGGATGGCGGTTCGAAAACGGCAAACCGCGTGGGACATCCTCACACAAATTCTTGTTCTCACGGTTCCAACTCGGTTCGAAAGAAGGGGATGGCGGTTCGAAAACGGCAAACCGCGTGGGACACCCTCACAAAAATGGTTGTTCTGACGGTTCCACGTCGGTTCGAAACAATAGCATCGATTTCCAAACGGTTGGAAAACGACCGTTTCGCTTGAGACTTCCTTGAAAATACGTTTGAAGCCCAACGGCCGCGTCGACGACGACGACGACGACGACGACGACGACGACGACGACGACGACGACGACAATGACGATGACGACGACGACGACGACGGCGGTTACGACGTTTACATGCGCTCTCGCCCGAATGCCGGCCACTCCTTAGTTCTCGCCTCACCGCCGGCCAGTGTCTCGGTCTGGCCGACCGCTCTCTGGGGTGGCGCCTGGAGAGGCCCCCGGTGCGGCGCTGGCCCCCTTCCGGAGGGGGGGACGTGCCGGGGGGAGACACCCGCCCCCCCCCTTCAAGGGGGGGACCCCTTGGGGGGGGATACTGCTGTCACCCCCAAACAGCCACATTTTTGAAAAGGACCCGCCCGTTTGGGCTGCTTCTGCTTGGGCCGGCTGATCTACGCCATTTCCTATTGGAAAACCAATATGTTTTCCACTAGTTTTCCGGGTTCCGGCCTTTTCTGCAAAATCGTTTTTTTTTTTTTCGACCCCACCCCGGAGGCCGAATCCAACGGGGAAAGCACGACTCATCCGCCCGTTTGGGCTGCTTCTGCTTGGGCCGCCTGATGTACCCCATTTCCTATTGGAAAACCAGTATGTTAGGAAGAGGGAGGATGAGGAAGAGGGAGGAGGACAGGAGGAGGAAGGAGGGAGGAGGGGAAGGGAGTGGGAGGAGGAGGAAGAGGAGGGAAATGATGAGGACGAGGAAGAGGAGGAGTAGGACAGGCGCCGAAGGTTTCGGTGGGGATCGTTCGAAGTAAGATATTGTCTGGGCCAAGTCGTTTTTTTTGGGTTTGACCCCAGCTCCGAAGGCCCAATCCAGCAGTCAAAACATGACCTTCTAGCAGTAAATGCGAGCGTGATCGCAACAGTCTCGATTGCTATCGTAAGTCCAATGCAAATTCGTCCAGGTCGTCCTCGCTGCAACTTTTGGGGCAAGTTGGGGGGAGGAGGGGTGGAAGGATGAGGGAGGAGCTTGCATCGATCAACTGTCAGGCTTTATTGATATTGTTGTGCTCTGCGTACTTGAGCTGTTTGTCAGCAGTGGTGTTCACTGGCAATGTGGCGTTCACAGGCGGCCGGGTGCTCACACTCACAGTGGTGTTCAGGCGTTGCTGGACTCGGGTAGTGTTGATCCGGCTCCGAGGCCAAATCGAGCAGTCAAGACATGGCCTTCGAGCAATAAATGCGCGCGTGGTCGCAACAGTCTCGGTTCCTATCGCAAATCCAATACAAGATTATCCAGTTTGTCCTCGCTGCAACATGTAAGACATGTTGGAGGGAGGACGGGTGGAAGGATGAGGGTGGAGCTTGCATTGATGAACTTTCAAGGCTTATCGATGTTGCTGCGCTGTGCGTTCCTGGTGTTCACTAGCAAGAGCTCAGAGTCACATTGGTGCTGAGGCGTTGTTGGACTCAGGCGGTATTGATCCAGCTCAGGCCGAATCCAAGAGGTAAACAACTGAATGCGCGTGCGGTCGCAGCAGTCTCGATTCCCAGCGCAAATCAAATACAAACTCGTCCAGTGTGTCTCCGCTGCAACTTCAAGTTGGAGGGAGGAGTGGTGGAAGGATAAGGGTGGATCTTGGCGATGTTGTGCCCACAAGCATCTGGGTGCTCACTGTCACTGCGGTGCTCAGGCGCTGCTGCGCCCAAGTAGCACTGATTGTATTTCGGTGCAACCAGCTCCACATCACAACGACACCGATCGAAGCACCCCCTCATGCCACAACAGCGTGTGGATGCATCGTAGCCATTACTTCGGCTATGCTAAAAAAGGGCCAAACTTTAATCACGCCCATGTAAGGGTGCGCAAAAGACGATGATGATGACTACTCTGATGATGATTAATCTTTGAAGTTCGGATACGGACACACGCTGGTCTGACACACCGCAACGTTCAGTCAGGCCTCCATTGAAGACTGCGTCCGCTCCTCGTTATCTGGCCAAACGGATCGCCAGGGCCGCGGTTCGCCCATGATCACGACATGGAGAATATGCTCCAACATGTCTTCTCAAGGACTCTTTACTGAAGAACCCGTGCTAAGGAGCCCTATCCAAATGGTCCATACGCAAGATACCCTTGCCCAAGCATCATTACTGAAAAGGTCCTCACTGAAGGGGGTCCTGGACATCCTAACAGGAATACGTCACACAAAGACTCGTGCAAACGAATTTTCCCTGGGGGAATACACAAGGGACTCTCAAGCTTTGAAAACATAAGACGTAAAGCTTTGGACACCCCCACCCCCCCGTATAATGTTAGCGACTGGTTTTTGGTCAGGGTGCGGTCCGAATCCGATGGGTTTGGACCCCGTAGCGAGAATGTGTGTGTATATCTATATATATATACACTAGAACCATCGCGCGCTTCGCGCGCACTCAAGTTCTAGCTAGGATAATCGTCATCGTCATCATCGCCATCCTCATCACCATCATATCCGGCGTCATCGTCAGCGGCATCGTCATCATCACCATGACCATCCCCATCACCACAATCGTCACCATCACCACCATCAGCAGCAACATCGTCATCACCATCGTCATCATCGCCATCGTCGTCATCATCGTCAATATCGTCACCTGAATCATCAACATAATCATCCTCATCATCGCCATCGTCATCATTACCGTCGTCGTCGACGTGATCGTCGTCATCGTTATCGTCATCATCATCGTCATCATCTTCATCATCCGCCCACTCCTGCATCACAAGCACCATAAACAGCATCGCCACCATTATTATCAGCATCGGCGTTATCATCCTGACCATCAGCAGCATCATCATAATGATCGTCAGCATCACCATCCTCAACGGCATCACCGTCATCGTCATCATGATCGTCAGCATCACCACAATCATCATCATCACCACCATCACTCACATCACGATCACCATCATCAACGTCAACATCAACATCATCATCATCATCATCATCATCATCATCATCATCATAATCATCATCAGCATCATCATCATCATCATCATTACCACTGTCAACATCATCATCATCATAATCTTCTTCCTCGTCATCATCATCATCATCATCATCATCATCATCATCATCATCATCGTCGCCGTCAACTTCATACTAGTCGTCATCATCGTCATCATTTTCGTCACCGTCGTCTCCGAAACTCCCCCGCCGAACTCGAGGATATCTCCGCAGCGTCTTGCATGCCGCGTGAGCAGTATTGGGGATTTAGGTTGTGGGCCTGAGGCCGCCCTGCATAATCATCATTGTCATTATCACCAGCGTCTGGAAGCCTTGCGGGGCCCGTTCGGCGCCTTTTGGAGGCCTCTTGGAGCTTCCTGGGGGCTTCTCGAGGCCTCTTGCGGACTCCTGGGGGCCTCTTGGGAGCTTTTGGTGGGCGAGGGCTCGACATGTCAGTTCGTGTTCCCCATCTGGGGCTCCTCTTGGAGTGTTCTGGGAGCTCGTTTGGGCCGTCTTGGAAGCTTCCTGGGCCGTCTTGGGGCCCTCTTGGGCTGTCTCGGTGGTCTCTTGGGGGCCTCTGGGCTCGTCTTGAGGCGATCTTTCGGGCCTCTTGGGCTGCCTTGGAGCGTCTGGAAGCCGAACTGGGGGGAACGCCAAAACCTTTCAAAACCCACTAAAAATCAATGACAATTTCCTATTCGGCCCCTCCCGGGAGAGCTGTCGGAGACCTGCTGGGACGCGTTGGCAGCTTTTCAAACCGTCTTGGAGTGCTCCCGGGCCGCTTCGGACCT